ACTGTGCAACTACTTTCTAGGTGAATCTTAAATAGTTCCGCGGGGATATTACGAGGATCTGCCGCTTTGCAAATTTTAAGCTGCGATATTGTTTTTGAAATGTGGATGTATCATAGGATGCTGAGGATAAGTTGGACCTCCAGAACAACAAACTGTGAAGTTTTAAACAGAATTAAAACCCGTGCACACCTAACAGGCATAATTAAAATCAAAAAAACTTCCTACCTTGGATATAATAATGCGGCATTTAGAATATGAAGAAATACAGCTCATAATAGAAGGAAAAATCGATGGAAAACGTAGCATAGACCACACCGACGGAAACACCCTTATTCACCAAGCTCTGGACAGAGAGTCATATGTCATATTAATCGCCAACCTCAACAGAAAAGGCACCTAGGAGGAGGAGGATATTGCTTGCTTAATTTCTTGTATCGATGAAGCACGTGTTCTAGATTCTAGATCTGCAGTTCTCTGTAGCTACCTCTTTAATTTCATTCGTTCTGTGTAGCGCTGCCTGTTGCTACCTCATCAATCTCATTTGTTCTCTGTTGGGCTCCATAAAAATATCTTTTGGGGTCACTATTAGAATGGATTCCTTTTTTATCTTTCACTATGGAACATTCCCTATTAATGTTTTTATTGACAAGCTTTAAGTGTCCTAGAATTATTTATTTCAGCTGCCATTTGAGCTTTTTGTGCAAGTTCTTCTGTTCACAGGTGTTTATCTCTTCGCTGCCTTGTTCATTGTGCGATATTGTTCCTCTAGTGCTGTTATTTGTGCGATGTGGCCTCCTTGTAGAATTTTTTGTTTAATTTCTATTCTTTCTTTAATCTTCTCCCATGTGCCATCTAAGATTCATGGCTTCATAATGTGTCTCTGCGACCCGAGGATTTCTTCGGCTATCTTCTGTTATTATATTTGTCCTCTATACTTAGTTACAGTTGAATTGTCGATGGTTATTTCTTCTATCTGTTATATGGTTTGTAATGTGTTTGCTATTTGGTTTTGAATATTAGGAGAAGCAAGTCACCCGAAGATCGAATTTACGTTTTAGCCATTGTGTTTCCAGAATGCTTGCAATTTTGAGATGTGTTTGGGCAATTAGATGGTGTTCACTGTTTATGTCACGTACAGAGGTACACGCTTAAATCAAAAAGTGAATTCCTCCATCTCCGGCTAAATAAAAAGTGGTCAGTTTGGTTTATTGTATACCAATCTGGCGATTTCCACGTATCTTTATGGACTACGTTATGAGGAAACACTGTATCTCCGATAAAATTAATATATGCATAGCGTCTCTGATAAGACGCGGACGCTCCAATAAGAACGGTAGTAAACTGAAATTTTAAGAGCTTATATCGGTTAATTGAAAGCATTTTACTACAGATTAATTGATTAGCGGATTCTAGGCAAAAGAAAGTTTAGACAGTTTCATTAAAGAAGAATATGTCTAACTTGTGAGCTTTTTGACATATTTCACCTTTTGTGAAAATGAAGATAAACTTTAAATTTCAATAACAGGTACATAAATTGTAATTTACCCTGTATAGCCTGATATTTAGTTAAAATAACCGTTGTACGTTAAACCAAATTAAAATTTGACCCGAACAGTTATACAGGGCGAAACAAAATTAATATTGAACATTGGTCACTTCTAAAAAAAATGCTTTTCCTACATATTTCCGAGGATATTTCCATCTTTATGATTTTGCGTCAGTAGATCTTTATTATTTCATAAAATCTAGGTGGCTGTGATATACCTTGTGATAATTCAACAAAAACTAAAGAATGAAGAGTAAAATTAATTCCTCTTTGCTGCATAAAATTATCGCCAATGTCGCCTTCTCCTAGTGATTTATATGTTTCAACCTTCTGTGCTGTTATGACTTCATCTCTGAATATGGATGGTTCTTGTTCTACAGCTTTGGTTTTTGAGATATTTAAAGATATTTAAATATACATGCTAACATAAAAAAGTTTGTCAACACATTGTACATACATTACTTTTCAGAATTCATTCTTGTTTGTTCTTGTGCTGACTTTCAAGCCAGAGAAATAAACTTTACTAAAAAATTTGATTGCTTTCTGAAATGTAGACAGAAGTATAAAACAATCCTGGTCTATTTTAAATATTTATTTTACATAAAAACTTCGTTATTTACAAATACAACACTATGTTTTTTTTTAAAGATCGAAGCAGATTTAAATGCTCTTTCAAACTATATTAGGGTTTCCTATACCTATCTAGCTCAGATTTTGAGTAAAAAGCGATTTTTCAATAAAATTGTAATGAAGATGGCTGGTGTCGCCATGGCAATTTTCTAGTGACACTAACAAACAAACAAACAACGCTTTATTGTGCAAAAAGCCAAAACAGTTTCATCGACAAAGCACTCACAAAACAAAAGTACAAAAAAATATACAAACAACAAAAAATACACAATACAAATCATACAATTCAAAAAAATTTAAGTCATTAAAATTACAAATAGAACATGCATAGACAATTGCAGAACAGTAAGCAGTAAATAGATATAATTTTAAGAGTTATAAAATCTTAAAATCTTATAAAATCTTAAACTTAGTAGCTATTTTCAAAATCGACAATTTTTTCTTCCCCTAGAGGTGCAAGACTTTGTCGTTGGTGGGGAAGCTCTTTGTCAGGTGCTGGAGGAATCTCCTCTAGCACTTTAGCTCGGTCTAAGAAGCATCTCATTGTCTTGTCCCTGGCTGTAGTGTCGTGGCCAGGCAATTGCACCAAGACATATAACGATGCCGGACGGGGCTACCCCTGTCCATCATACCAGGCACACTTTACTGACTGTGGTCATGTTTCGCGAGTAGAGGGTGTGGGGTGATCTTGGCTTAATCGCCTGGATCAAGAGGAGACAACCTTAACAAAAACCTAAATCCTACGATGACGGGACCAGGTCAAAGGAATGCGTGGGTAAGATAGAGGACTAGCCATTACTGGCCTCAACCTTGGGGCATCAGGGGGCACCCCATTGTATTTACCCCTTACTTCTGCATGCGCGTTCTGTAGAAGTGGACCGACTATCTCTAGCGACTCGTGGAAACACTATGAGATCTAGTATTAAAAACACCACCGGTAAAGCTGTGGGGAAGCCCCCTAGCGACACTGGAAACATTGAAAGTTTCAAGGAACAAATGAAAGTTTCAAGGGACCAAATCTAAAGGAAACTAAAGGAGGGGCGGCTGACACTTGCTTGGGATCATCCTCCACAAGTGGCACACAAGCTACCATCTTCTCCAGCAAGGGTCGGGAGCCTACCTCTAGACCCAATAAGCGACATAAGCTACTGTTTCGTCTACCCGGCCTGGGTCAAACAGGCGGGCTAGACGATCCTCTGAGAGTAGGTCTTAGCGGGGCAGAAGCACGGAGATACCTCCGATTGTTCCACGAAGGACTTGCTCCAGAGGAAGCAAAAGCGAAAACACTCCTCCGAAAAGGGGAGAGTAAAGAAACCAAGAAACAACCTGACTCATCTCCATGAAAGGGCAAGAGAGGGAGCGAGAACCTCTCACCTCTTCTCCGGCAGGGAGAGAAAAAAGCCAGGGTGGAAAGCCGTCCAACACCGGGAGGCAAGCAGGGACGTATCACCAGCTTTGCCGCTATTGCTGGACAATGGCGGTGCTGCCAAAGGATTACCAAGAGGTTGCTCTGACCACCGACCAGCAAACGTCTCTAGAAGAGGCTATACTGGACGAAGTAATGGCGATCGGATCGCAACACAACGATCTATAAATGTGGGTAAGCTGCGTTTTGCGGGAATACACTTTCGGGTGGGTATGATCCTCATAGATTGTGTATCTCGTAAGTCAACGTATTAGAAAACAATGAACTACTTTTTTAAGTTTATTGATAAAATAATAAATACTTACTTATTAAACTATTGTAGGTAAATTAAATAAAAGTAAACTGTTATAAATTTAAATAAAGTTCATAAACTAATGTCGATTTTAAAAATAGCTACTGTTACCACTGTCACTAGCAAATTGCCATGGCGACACCAGCCGTCTTGATTGCCATTTTACTGAAAAATCGTTTTTTATTCAAAATCTGAGCCAGATAGATATAGGAAACACTAATATAGTTTGAAAGAGCATTTAAATCAGGTTCGACTTATTAAAAAACATAGTATTGTATTTGAAATAACCAAGTTTTTATGTAAAATAAATATTTAAAATAGACCAGCAATTTTTGATACATCTGTATATATTTTAGGAAGCAATCAAATTTTTTAGTAAATAAAAACACAATATTTAATTCTGAAAAGTAATGTACAAGGCAGGGGCGGATACAGAAATTTATTTTAGGAAGGGCCCAAATAAAAAGTAATGTAGAATATGCTTTTTAAGGTGCCATTTTTAACCCAAAAAGCGTAATATTTAACCCAATCTATAGATATTAGGGGAGGGGGGCCGGGCCCCATGCGAATGAGGTGCGCCACCCTGTATACAATCATATTTTTGCTTTTGCTTTTGTAATACCTCATATTTTTGCTCTCTCCGACTTACTAGATCGCCATAGCAATTCACTACCAGACATGTTAACGCCGACCCAAGGTTTCGCTTGATAATATGATATGCATCTTAATATTATGGAGGTTTAATTTAAGAATGTAAATTAATCCTCTACAATGCTACTTACATCATGGAGTTTTTTCCATTTAATTTTAAGAAATAAGAATATAAACGGCCTGAAACTTATTATAAAAAATTCACAATTGAACAATTCCATAACACCTAACTTTCAAACCCTGAAAACGTGTTACTATCGTATATTTTTTGAAAGTAAATAAATAAAGTTAATTCGTTACCAATCACCAATCAATATGGCACCATCAATGACATTCGTAACAATTGCGTGATTGGTTCTCGCCATTGTTCACAGGTTTGAACAATTTTTAAAAGTGTGTAACATTACACCAATAAGCCAAACCTAATAGTTAGTAAATTAATGAGGTAAACTGACCTGCAAGTATACAGATGATTCTTCCTCACGCTTCTCCTGAAAAACCCCTTGCAGCCATCGCATGACGCAGCCCCGTAGTGCTTGCCTGTGGCTCTGTCCCCGCAGATGGCACAGTGCTGTTGGCCCAGAGCTGCGCTGGGTACTCCCCCCGTTCCTGCATGGGAGAGTGTAGCTGTTAGAGCTCCATTAGTTCCTGCGCTCCCCGTCGAAACGCCCGCACTACCAGACATGGGCGAGTCTGAGTCTGCTGCAAAGAGAAAAAAAGTAACATTAGTTTCTACAAAAAGCGGTTTACATGATTTCCTGATCAATTCTTTATTCGGCAATAAAAATCTTTAAAAAAAATTGTTATATATTTTTAATATGTCGAAATTTTATAAACATGTGTTTTTATTTTGGAAGAAGCACGGATACAATTACCCATTTTTAATAAGGAAATACTGATATACTAAAGAGAAGAAAAGGCCTAGGTATATTAAAAAACATATTTATATCTCAGAAATAAAGAAAAAAATTGCAAAACCATTATATATATATTCGATAATTTTCTTTATTAGTTCATTGTCATTTGTTAAAATTAATTATCAAACCTCGCTGCATATTCACATGATTCTGTAATCAGATGATTCAAACCCGACATACATTCTTTAGATAAAGAATGTATGACATATACAATATAGAGCCGGGTACAGGAAAAATGCCTTAACTACAACAACTTACCTTGCTGTATTTTCTGAATTTAATGAAATATGGTTTCACCTCAAGTGTAAATCTGATGGTTATATTTATACAGGGTGAGTTTTCTACGATAGGTATCTCGGAAACTACTGGAGATAGAGAGTCGGTTAAATGGGGAAAGAAGAACGAACTGCAGTTTTTTCATAAATATGCGCCCTTTAGATTTTTGAAAAAGTTCATGGCTTACTAGATATTTCGAAAAAAAAAATTCGGCTATTTTAAAAATTGTCCCTAGTTCCATTATAATCTATTTTAGACAAAAACTTTTCAGAAAAAGTTGTAGATAATCACATCCATGGGATTATGTTCTCCGTTATTTTCTAAAGCCTGTCATTTTTGACATATGACACAAACATATGTTTTTTTAAGTGGAAACCATAGTTGGCCACGACTTCATAAAAAGCGCCATTTTTTAAGCCAACCAAAGCTATATGTTTTTATCAAAAAATTACTGAGTTATAGCCAATCTCATTAAGGATGTGATTATCTAAATCTTTTATCAATAACAATAATTTTAACAATAATATTAACTTGTTCAACGCATCAGATAAGGGTTTTCGTTAACAAGGAGGTATAGACGAATGACTTCATGATTTAATATTTACCATTTCTTTTTGGGATTTTGTTTCGTTTTATTTACCCGAATATAATTAGAAAACAAATTAACCGTTAATGTCTGACTGGTTTAGTTTGTGGTTAAGTATTGCGAATGTTTCTAAAAATAAAGAGATACAAAATAAAAGTTGATAAATTTGAGAGACAAGCGCCTTGAAAAAAATATTATACAGGATGTGTCGCTCAAAAATGCCTTAGATATAAAATTAAAATAACTATACACTGCAATTACAATTACAAACACAAGTACTTAACCTAATTAACAAAAAATTGACGATAAGGGATATTTTTTAACACAGAATTTAACACCGGTCAATCATAATCAAGCAGACTTTCAGTTAGAAATTAAAAAAAATGTTGTGTCAATGTCAATATCGAAAAAAAAATTGTTTTTCCTAATTCTTCTAGTTAGTATTCTTCTGTAACTTGGAAATAAAAATTTTCTGTTTAGCCCTGTTTAGCCAGAAACTTGTAACGTTTTTCGTTCGTTACATGTCTTTGTATATATGATATATATGATGTCTGGCGTATCGTCACCGGATTCCGTATCACTCAGGCCGGATAATTTATTTGACGCGCTTGGCGTAATTTTTACGTTCTCTAGTCAACAACCCTGTTATCGTTTCACTGCTTCTGTGGAGGCGCTGTCAGCATCGCTCCGCTCTCCGCGCTTAACCTCACTTTTTTTTGCCGCTCTGTTGTACCCCAGCTTTTAGAAATGGTAATTTAAATCTTGCTGCAAAATCTGAATCAGCTGCTATTTCGAAGCTACAGGTAAAGATGAGATATTATCCTTTTTAGATTCGATATTATTACTGCATATTTTCAGGGTAGAGTTTTGGATTAGCCTCAACCTTAACTCGTATTTGGTGTTTGCTTGCACATTGGTTTTCTTTTGTTGTCCAGAATGTTAAATGGAAGAAAGGACAGTTTCTTTGTTTATTATTAAGTCCTCGGAAGTATTTCGAGGTAGGTTTTTTGTGTTTATTACACCTTGGTAGGTTTTAAACACGAGTTTCATATTTTTAGGGTCCAAGGTACGGACTGTGTCCAAGTTAACGGACGTTGTCCAAGGTACGGACTGTGTCCAAGGTACGGGCGTTATCCAAGGTCCTAGTAGTGTTCCTATGTACAGATTTCGTATGGACAGGTGTCCCATGTACGACATAGTTTATCTCATGTATAGATTGCCACAGTATGGATGTAGCGTAAGCTCCATGCTGCTTTGCTGCTGTTTTTAACCCTAGTCAATAGTTACAGCTGTATTAGTTCATGGTGTCCTCATCCTGGCCCCTTTTGTTGCATTGGCCGAGAGACAGTACAGAGAGAGTCCCACCTCACGCTGTTACTGTTTGAAGCAGGATTGCCTCAAGAACAATCAGCTAAGTTTGGATTTAAGTTCTAGTTTTTATGTTTTACTTATGACGATTGGTATATACTTAAAATATTATTTAGATCTTAGTTTCTTTGCGAACATTACGTTTTGTAATAGTATTACTTTCTGTATATATTCTTGCGTCATTTTGACAAATGAATATCCGAACCGATTCTAGAATCTACGGGTTGAAACATCTCAGATTTAATATCATATAAAAATTTAACAAATTAATTAAAGTAATGCTATCTTTTATACATCTTCTATAGCCTAATCTATATTGTATTTTTCTATAGTCTTTTTCATTGAACATATTTAGTACTATTTTATTATTTTAGTAACATAACTTTCTTCGACATTATAACCACTACATTTATTAAGATTTTACAATGTTATTTACCATCAAAGACAACTGTGTTTTCTTTCTCTGTACATGCCTGGCGCCCAATATCTATTTTTTTTGTTTATTGTTATTAATTAGTTTTCTTTCCAGTGAAATACCTTATCCACGACTGCTCTCCGATGAAAAGCTGCCGTTCGCAGTGGTAGTTGTTTAAAAAACGCTATAAACTAGAATCCAATTTTTTTTTCTTTTTTTTTAGAGTTTCTCAAAAATGCTACCTTCAGAGTGTACCTAAAAAATCTCAAAACGATCAGAGAATGCTATAACGATCCTCCAGTTCGAGTGAACATGGTAATCAGCGAAGGTAACTTGCAGTAACCTACTGCATTCCGAGGGGTGTCTCACTTGGGTAAAAAATGTACATGTACTGCCAAAATATCGTCTTACTGGCAAGCGACTGCCAATGACTGCGAAGAAGATACATGACTGCCATGTAATTATTATAAGCGACTGCCGTAAGACTGCCAATGACTGCCAGCGACTGCCAAGAAAATGTATATACATGTAATTCCAATAGTGAGACACCCCTCGCTGCATTCTTTAAACAGTGACCCTATCGACCGTCATTGCTTTCATGAAAGTTGCATACACATTCTGAGAATCAATGCGATATATCTCGCAAACAGAACAACGTAAAAAAAGTTACACATCAATTTGATAGGTTTTTTTATGCTCTTTATTTTTAAAAACTTTGCGAAAAAAAGGTTTGACAAAAAAAAAGGTTTCACTCTGAAAAATACAAAAAACTGCATTTGAGTGACTTTGGCGCCCTCTAACTATGTCCCCGTAGGTTTTAGAGGTTTGTTTTTTTTTCATAACATGAAATGTTATGAAAAAATGGGCCGTCCTCTGCCGGAAACACTGCGACCTGTGAGGCCTATTGTGTTTGTCCCCCTTCTATATCTGCACCCATTCTCCTATCCCTGTGCCCTGCACTAGCTTATGCAGGTCCTTGATAGGATGGGAGCATAGTTCCTCCGGTTCTAGCCTAGCTGTCCCAAATAAAGAGTGTCGCTTGCGATCCAGAGCCTCGCAATGACATATTATGTGCTCCGCTGTGTCAGGATCTTTATCGCAGAGTCTGCAGCAAAGACTTCCTTGGTACAGGTTGAGCTTGTTCAGATAACACTTGATAGCCATGTGTCCTGTCAAGAGGCCTGTTGTAATACGCACTTTATTCCTGCTAAGCATTACCAGTTCTTTTTCGGTTTTAGAGCTAGGTCCTTGGATAAAAGCCTTGCTGTGCCTGTGCCCCTGTCTGTTTCTCCAGTGGACATTGTGCTTTTCCTTGATCCAGAGTTTTAGTGCACTACGGGCCATACATTTGGGTATTCCCAGTACTGGACCAAGATAGGATGCCGATGATCCCTGCCTAGCTAGCTCATCGACTTTTTAGTTGCCTTGGATGCCGCTGTGGCCCGCCACCCAGAATAACTTAATTCTGTTCCTTCGTGCCAGAGCTCCCAGTTCACCCAGGCATTCCCAGACGAGTCTCGACGATACCTTTGGGTTCACAAGCGCCCCAAGTGCCGCCTGACTGTCTGAGCATATATTGATAAATAGATAGAGGTTGGTTACTTAGAGTTGAATATGCAGATAATTTAATTCTCTTCTAGTTTGTTCCATAAAATTGTGTCTGTGGGACCTACGGTTCAGCTAGAAAATCGAATACAATTTTTTTTGGGGTTTTTCAAGAACGGTGGGGTGGGGGGATTCGAATTTTCATTTCATTTCAAATTCGTAAGCTTTTCCAGTGGACCACTTAGACTGGCAAAGTATGAGAGCGGGGGTAATTTGATGGGAGATCTTTTCTGATGCCAGATTGACTGTACTATTAGTAAATTTTAAGAATTTATTTCTTGAGCCCCAAGGGGCCCGCTAATTTTTTTAAAGTAATTTTTGTCATAGAACATATTGACAACCAGACCGAGAAAAATCAAAGATTTCGGATTGTCACGGGGCTTCTAACAGAACACTGTCTCCTCAACGAACACCTCTGTAGATTGAAGATGAGAAGCAACGGCGAATGCAGATTCTGTGGGGAAATGGGGAAACGCCAGAACACCTCATCGCTGAGTGCGCCGAGACGACAACCGTTCGTGCCATAAAATTTGGT